TATATATATATATATATATATATATATACATACGTGGACAGAGAAATTAAGACACGACTACATGAGTAAAGTTCACTCTACAGTACTGTTTCGTAAGGTACATGGAGTACCTCACTCATCAGGAGTTAAGACTTTATTAAATAAACCACCGAAACAGACTACGTTATAAGCGCTACAGATTTGCATAACAATGGAGTGTGTTTACGATATTAAAACTAGTTGTTGCATAGCAACGATTTGGCTCTGTGTCTACAGGAAGAAAAAAGCTCATTTCTTTTATTTAAACTACAGTACCGGTAATGTGGTTCGAAAATTATAATATATTTCTCTCTAATACATAAGTTGCAACGTTTGCTTGAAGTATTGTATGGTGCAGCACGCGATAACACTCCATTTGATGTCAATCGATATATTGATATATATACATGTATTCAAAATGGCTGATTTTGATGCTGTTTCAGAGCAATATCTCTCAATATGGACAAGTACTTGTTTGACATTCAAATACAAATGTCAATCATTTTAATGTTAAAAAATCATATTCCTGACATGGTTATATTCCAGCTATATTACTATAAACAAAACTATATATCTTAAATTTGATATCTAATGGGGACTGTGTCGTGCATGGCTTGTTCTTATATTTTTCAATATTTCTGGAAATGAACCCTAATTTTGGAGCCAACATACAAAATTTGAGTCAATGTTCAGTTTTTACTCAAAAAATTTGGCTATTTTTTTCAATTTTCTGAAGGAAACAGAACTATTTTATGAATTTGTAATGAAAAAAGGGGAACTTTTGGTGAAGAGGTTAAGCCAAGAAAAATCAGTTCTTTTGATTAGTCCCCGTTTAGACGAAGTCCGAAAACGAGGACTTATAATTCGGTCTCTGTGTGTCCGTACGTCCGCACGTCCGCACGTCCGTCTGGAGTCATATCTCAGAATCCCTTGGACCGATTCCATTCATTTTTTGCATGTGCCTAGTGCTTTATGTGGGACATATGCACATGCAGTGGTTTAGCGATTTGATTCGAGAACTTTCAAAAATTTAACAGGGATAAATACAAAAATCTCCTTGTTAGATAAAATCACTTCTGTGTTATTCTTGTTTTCAGGATACCTTAGTGAGGCAGCTGTCAGTACTACTTGGTGTAATGGATCCAGATATTGTTGTACAGTCTGTCAGGGAGTCGCCACTTGGAGGGTAAGTCATCTATCAGTCATTCACTCCACACTCACAGCCACCATCACTTCATCAAACTATCAATGCAATTACGTGCAATATGCTGTAATTTTCTAAATATAATACTGTGGAATACTTTATTTTCGCTGGAATTAATTTTTGCTGAAAAGGGTTTTTGGGAGTTTTGCTTGGAATTTATTTTCACTGATTTTTGATGAGATTAATGTAAAATATAGGAAAAAATGTATATTCGCTGGTTTTTCTTTTCACGGAATTATCCCTTCAGCGAAAATAGCGAAAATAAATTCCAAGCGAAAATAAAGTACTCTACAGTATTACTGTTTTTGTTGATTCTAATATAGAGAAACGAAATGTAAACAAAATTCATCATTTTCAACTGAACTAAGAAGCATTTACAAAAAATGCAGCCATATAATGGTTTTGTTCCAAAATGTGGCACTTTGGCCAAAATTTAATCTGGAAAATCTGTTACATGTGGGTATGTATAAAAAAAACAAAAACAAAAAAAACAGATTTTAAAATACATTTGTATCAATATACTTGGCTGATATTGTAATTATGCATTCCCAGTTTCATCTAAATTTTAAAATATTAAAATGATGTCTAGTTTTCCTATCTATTTATGTATATGCAGGCCATATATGGGCTGTGTTTAAGAAGGATTTACAAAACTGACCCCTGTTTAACTGCCAGCAGTTTTTATTGCGGCATTTTGCTCCATGGTTTGTTGTCTTCTTAGTCACTTTATACATGTAGTCCATCGCACACCTTTTAATTAAACATCAGTGGTCGTCTTGCAGTAAGCAAATTTCATGTACTGGTAATATATATTTTACATGAATTATGTACATTGCATGTCATATCAAACACACCATTAAATTTAATTTGGCTTGACTGTTTGTTATTATTGCTGCTGATTTACACAAACTATCCTTACACTAAAATGTATATGGCTTTTCCCCAAATAATTCGTCCTTATTTTTGTTTTTTAAAAAAAAAATGTTGTTTTGCTTTTTTCTAGAGTGGTGATTCAATTTTATATTCTAAATGCAGATGGCAAACGAGTGCTGAAAGGAATCACAATGGTGAATAAGCTGAAATCCAAATTAAGCAAAGAATCACAGGTGTTAGATTATAATGTTATGCTTGTGGACACTGTTGGTGAGTTCACTCTTTTTGATTGTATCTCGCTCTCACTCAGACATCAACCTGGGAATATGCTAATTAGCTGGGTTAAAGGTCATATCTCATTTTATCTGTAGTCCCAAATTCTGTTTGTTATCTATATGATACACTACACTAAGAAGATTGGAGAAGAAGAACAAATCAAAATTCATTGCATACAATTTGACTAGAATTCGTATTGCCCTGAGCTTATTGAAATAAAACCATTTCTGTGTTAAAGTTGATATTGAACGAGATTTGTTTTTGGGTACTATGTGCCTTGACCCACTCAGAACAGATTAGTGACACATCTTGTTCAAGGTGCTTGCTAATCAGCAGTCCTATGTGTGCCACACTTTTCCTTCCTTGTGTTCCTTCATTTGATGTGTAATCTCGTCATGACACATTGCCAAACTTAGCAGAAATCAAATCTCACGACTTTGATATTAAGGAATATCCTTAGATTTGTGTAGGTAATGTTAGTTACGTTCTTCCTCGATTTCTATGAACATGTAATTAGTAAAGTAATGTTTTCAATTGTATGCATGGAAGTCATATCTGTGTGTCATCAGTGTTTGTTGTTGTGAGCATTTCCACAATTCATCAGAACATGAGATTTTTGTATGTAATACTGTAAAATGAATAATTTTCTCTGGGTTTAAATTTCGCTGATGTATGATTTCAGGCATATTCAGTGGGTTTTAAATTCATGATTTTATCATTTAGATAATGTGTTCTATGCTAAATTTTACATATTCACTGGGTTTTACATTAGTGAATTGTCTAGTCAGCGAAATAAGCAAGTGAATAATTAACCCTGTTTACAGTATGATACAGGTGTGTGTGCATGTAATGGTATGTAGCTTCTTGTCACTTCCTGTGTAATCTTCTCACATTGTCATGCATGTAGTGGTGTATATTTTTTTTATCCAGATTTTAACAAAATTAATGAGATAAACAGCTGTGGCAAGCAATAGAACCAAGGAATAAACCTCATTACTAATCTCTTACTGTATTTTAGCTGGAACTAATTTTCGCTAAAAAGAGTTTTTGGTTGTTTTGTATGGAATTAATTTTCACTGATTTTTGGCGAGTTAAATGTAAAATATAGGAACAACGGTATATTCGCTGGATTTTATTTTCACTGAATCATTCTTTCAGCGAAATTAATTCCAAGCGAAAATAAAATATACAGTAAATCTTTTAGTGGTCTAAGCACATGCACAATTCTGTTTATTTTGCATCTAAAAAGGAGGCTTCTATATATTTTTTTTAGTGCAAGTTTTGTGTGGGATGTGTGTCACCCTAGTTGTCTTAAAGCAATAATTCAAAAAATGTTTGTGAAATATAAAAAATGTTGTCTTTCATTTATTGACACAAATAAAAACTCAAATTGTGTTGTCTTGGTATCTATGTGTTCAAGGAGGCTTTGAGGAGGACAGTCATAACCAGTCATAAAATCAATCACCTTTTCTAACATAATTTACTTGATGAAGTTGCAAACTATGAGTCTCAGAAATTACAATTGTAGCATTGAACATGTTGGGGTCCTAGGGAGTCACAGTAACTTTCACTGAGGTCCTAGGGAGTCACAGTGACTTTCACTGAGGTCCTAGGGAGTCACAGTGACTTTCACTGAGGTCCTAGGGAGTCACAGTGACTTTCACTGAGGTCCTAGGGAGTCACAGTAACTTTCACTGAGGTCCTGGGAGTCACAGTTAATTTCACTGAGGTCCTAGGGAGCCACAGTAACTTTCACTGAGGTCTTAGGGAGTCACAGTAACTATCACTGATTTCCTTGGGAGTCAAAGTGACTTTCACTGAGGTCCTGAGAGTCACAGTAATTTTCACTGAGGTCCTGGGGATCACAGTAACTTTCACTGATTTCCTTGGGAGTCAAAGTGACTTTGACTGAGGTCCCGAGAGTCACAGTAATTTTCACTGAGGTCCTGGGGGTCACAGTAACTTTCACTGAGGTCCTGGGAGTCACAGTAATTTTCACTGAGGTCCTGGGAGTCACAGTAACTTTCACTGAGGTCCTGGGAGTCACAGTAACTTTCACTGAGGTCCTGGGAGTCACAGTAACTTTCACTGAGGTCCTGGGAGTCACAGTAATTTTCACTGAAGTCCTGGGAGTCACAGTAACTTTAACTGAGGTTCTAGGGAGTCACAGTAATTTTCACTTGTTAACAAAAACATACTTCTCACAAGGACAAAAAAATGCAATATACAATGTTCAGTGGCATGACAGTTTTATCAAAATAAACCGTTAATATTCATTGAGTAATAACAGTATTGTACAAGTGTAATTAGTCGTGGTATTGGCATTCCAAACCTTTCATCACTGTCCATACTTATTTTGTAAATTAATTTGGTGGTGTGTAGTAGTTTTACTGCCCTGGCGAATGGTAATAATCTGCTTAACTGCTTAATAGTACCTAGTAGAAATAAAAACAAATTCTAAAATAGTCTATATAGTTTCTGCAGGTATGTGTATGAATAATTCATCCCAAATGACTGGCAAATTATAATTTCTCTTATAACAACCAAATATGTGCTATGTGGGCAAGGTTTTACAAGTCTAATTATTGTTTTGTTATTTCATGTGGTGTTATCCATGTGAGCTATAGCTGTGATATCACACATACCAATTTTAGGTTTGTCTGTTATTTCTCTAGTATTTTTAGTCTACTGGTTGAATAGATGCTTAAAGATTTGGCATCATCCATCCAGCTTTTGTTCATCAAAACATTATCCATAGTGTTTATTCCAAGGAAGCCAAGATTGATTGCCTTTTTGATTGTGCAAGACAAAATTTAACATGTGTACAGCAGCAAAATTCGTGATTCACAATAAAAGTCCAAAATGTCAGCAAATAGATTGACAAGATTTATTTTCTGTACGAGCATTTGCATCCAGTGAAAAGACTGTTTCTATTACATGTTTTATAATGGTGCTGTGTTTGACATAAAAAAAAGAAAAGTGTTTGAATGTGTTTCAGTTGGTTCCCTCTTGACTTTCATACTTTGAGGTATGGTTGTAATAAACCAAACGTTTTATTCTTCAAATTAAGTAATAAATTGTTTATTTTCATGTTTCAGTTTGTCAGAATGATTGTTCAGGTCATGGTCATTGTAACGTGGAGACGAAACAGTGCATATGTGAGAGTTTTTGGATGGAAAACTACTTTAAAATTTATCTTGGAGATGGCGAATCAAATTGTGGTAAGAGTGAATCAAAAATATACTAGTATATAGCGCCCTCTACAGTTCATATATTACTCTTGTTAACAGTAGCAACAGAGCTGACACTGAATGTGTTTTGGGCTATCCTCAGGGGCGGAGCTACGTCACAAAACGTTCCACGTTGCTAAGACACGCATCACTGTACCATGTATTTCTATGGGCTCTGCGCAAGCTGTTGAGAAACGCGGAACGCTGAGCGAAGAGCCGGTGATGAGAAAACAACAAGAACTCAACTTTGAAGTAATCCTGCACAAGCAAATTCATATATGTTACACACGCAGGGCTAATCTTGTTACACTGTTCAGGGGAGTCTCAACAACCATCCCAAAGGACCGTTTTCTGCGAGTTTTTAGCCTTTGTTTTCACCGCGATGGTTGGCAGGCGGTGAAGTTGTCCGCCCCTGAGGATATTACCAATATTGTCTGAATTTTTTAATGGTTTTCAATGCAATCATTAAAAGTAACAAACGTATCACTTTAGAGATGACGATACTGGAACGGAGTATATGTAAGAAGAATGTAAAGGAATTTTCAATAGTGTTCATTTCAAGAGATTTTGTTTTTTCCTTCAGAATGGAGTATCTTGTATGTTGTAATTATTGGATCTCTAGTAGTGGTCACCATAGGCGGTATTATATGGGCAATATATTGTTGTATCAAACGGTAAGAAATTTCTTTAACTATCACTTCCAGGGTTAGAAATACTTGGTTGTACACTGCACTGGGCATGTTGTTTTTTAGCCTGTACATGTAAACTTATTGTGCATTTCAAACATTATAACATTAAAGCCAATAGAATTAGTAATACTGTAATTGGTAGAATTGGTAATAGATTCTATGATTTAAAAAAATACTATAAACTCGGTGGAGAAGTATTTGACTACTGTTTCAGTCTTAATACTGAAGTCAATGAGATGGCAAAGTTACTGTTGTGAAAGTAATTTACTTGTTTTTTATGTTTTGATCACACACAAAAGTCTCTATACATACCGAAAAAAAATTTCTTAATAATATATGATGCATGTTACCAGTGTTTGAGATTACAGCCTAAAATGGGTAACATCTAGAATAAGTAACTTTCAAGTCGGCTGGTAAAAATTTAAAATTACATGCCCCATGGTCTGGTCACTTTTTTTCATGTTCTGCTCAATAAATCTTTGAAAATGCAATTTTACTGAATAATATTATTGGATATAGTTGGGCACCATTCTCCTCGGGTGGCTGTTACAAAGATTAAGGAAGGAAGAAAGAATGCAACAGTTTAAAATGTGAAATATAAATTATCTGTTTTGTGTGTCGGCAGAGAGTTTCCGGATTAGGAATGGAAGTATTTCAAAATAATCTTTAATTAATTGCTAATTTTCTGTGATTGCTAGTGAAATTTGAAAGTTACCTGCCTTGAGTGTCTGGTAAACAGTTTCTAGAAATTTTAAACACCGATTTTACACTGAGCTTGGTGGAGGTTATACTCAAAACCAACATGAACACAATGCATGCTTGGATATTTACTATTTCAGTGCTTGATGTGGTCATTTGATCTCATAGCAAAGATTGTACAGCTAGGTATTTCTACATCTACTATGCCACAGTTGTTGCATTCAAATTTTGTATAAACAATTGTTGTAATTCTCATGCTTTGTTTACATTGCATGGGACCCATATCAAATGATACCTATTATTGTCTTGTAGGCGAAGAATGATGCGTGGAAGAAAACGACACAGATACACACTACTTGACGAGTATGATGGGAGAGAAGCCGTTGAAATGTTACCAAAATCAAGTAATGGTAAGTTTCTAAATGAT